TAGATGGAGGTGGGTGGGAGTGCAAGGGGTCCTCGCTGGACGGCATGTAGGTCAGAAATGCATTCATGTGTCAAAACCCTTATGTGACTTCACAATAATACTCTAATGGCAATCTGTCAACCTATTCAGCAGMCAATGGCACAGAGATGAGCCTCTGCCTCATAACAGCCATGGAGGCAGCAGGAAAAGCAGAGATGCTGCATAAACACAATTTATAGCACCTCATTCTGATGTTTAATAGATATGAGCTGCAGTATCTCATAGTATTTTGTTGCCAAGCACATGTGACTTTTTATATCACGAGCGAAAATATACTGATTACAGATTTAGGGCCCATTAAAATGACTTTTTGAAAATGGGGTCATARATTAASTCACTGACTTGCACAGCAGGTACTMTTTTTATTTAAGCGTGCCTTTGCTGATCATCTTTATCACTCCCACTTTACACACAAATTTATACAATCCCTGCACAATACTGTCGAAACTTCAGAGTTTTGACGAGGAAACTGGTCTTGTTGTTACAAAATGTGCACAGCATCAGTTGTTGACTCTGGCAAGATATATTTTTTTAATTAATTACACTAAAAGATTTAATCACTCAAAGGAAGTTTTGGCTGGAAAATTGAACTGAACAGCCATTACGCTAAAAAGCTGGACTTGTAACATCACCGATTGTGTCAGGTTTGGCAAGAAGAGGCAGGTGGATCAGGATGTAAAACGAGAATGTTTAATTTTAAACGGACAGAAACGCAAGCCAACATGACAAGAATTGGCAAAAACTGGCGCAACAGACTCAAAACAGGTGCTGACAGAAGAATATAACCAAGATCAAGGCCTATGCTACAAAATTWGTAATTACTGCAATTTTCTGCTACTATTGCACCTGTTAACTCATACAAGCTGAGTTTTTAGTGAGGAAAAACAGAATCGCAAAAACTCTATTTTTGGTAAATACAGATTTGTTCTAAGGCATGTCTGATCAAATCTAATTTTATTTATTTTATTTACCGGCAAGGAACACAGAACACACAAAGAACTCAAGGAATTAAAAACATAAAATGTTTTAATCAAGATAAATCYGTAATATGGCAGCCAAAAGCACTGGGGAAACCAAGACTTGCACTCGGTGCAGAGCTACCCTACTGACACATAGTTACATTACAGAGACACTACTGACCTGAAATGACAAACACCTGTGAAGTGACAAGTAGGAGTGGAAAGAGCAGGTAACAGACGGATAGGGTATAATTACAAAACATGTAATTATCTGACATGCTTCTTTAGTTCACTGTTTACATTTGAACCTGCCTCTGACTCTGCTCCGGTGAGGCATGTTATTTTTGAAAAGGAGCAACGTGTTAAAACTAAAGTATCAATCCAGTAACTTCAGTAAAGATTTAGTAGGATCCTCAGTCATCCAGGACATGGGAAATTAAAATAACAAAGACGAAAGAAATGAACTTTGTTATTATCATTATTATATGGAACAATCCGTTCACGCCCATCTCACTGATGTAAAAGTCAGATAAAATGTGACACAAGTGTTCAGACTGCAGTGGCTTTAAAAAACATCAGATATGTATCTGATTCAGTGCCACYTACTGAAAAAAGACCTGGTTTCGATTTGAAAGAAATCTGATTTGTTCAGACTGTCCGGATAAAACCCGATATGGGTTCTCTCCCCAGGTGTGTCTCATTACCTCTCGTTAGTTTCTCTTCATATTCCATCTCCTGCCTTCTGTTGTTGTTGGTTCATTTCTGGTTTGTCTCCTTGTCAAGATTTTCCTGGTAAGTTTCTTGTTTGCTGTTCCGTCAGTGTTTTCATTTGTTTAAGAAATCAGTTTATTCTTTGCTCCGAGCCTTTTTGAGTTCTTTGCCCACTCCCTGGTTCGTAATCTACAACAAATCTGYTAAAACTAACCTTGTTGACAGTGTTTTACATATTCCTGCTAAAACTTACTGCATTTGTGCTAATCGGAGTATGATAAAGCTGAAAGAGAATGAATCAACACAGGCTATTGACATATTAAACCAATGTTGGTGTTTCAGAACAAGCTCAGAGAAACACCGTGGGGATTATAATTCAGGCTGAGAGAAAGAATTATCTTCACCTCGTCWTCCAGTTGGTTATCAAGCTGTCACCATGCTCAGCGGCTGAGTAAGTTTTAAATCTGCAGAAAACTACACTCCTGTCACAATGTTCCGACTGCCATATGATCCATATTTATCACAAAGGACTTATTCAGCTTTCACACAATACGTCTGAACTCACCAAAACTTTAAACTCACTTTGCATTTAACTTGATTTCTGGAATCATGTAGTTTGATCTCTTCCAACGACTCTTTAAAGCTCTTTCATCGAACTCTGTAACATTTAGACTTTTTCCTGTTCTTTGTGAATGTGTAAAAAAAACTTTGAAACTYGAACAACATAAATGCTATTGGTTCCTTCTGGGTAGGTGAAATGGGTCTGTTTATGTGTTGGTACCCGTAGAATTGTGGATCTGACATGCTCCCCCAGGGCTAGGATGTTACCAACTCGATACGCAGAAGGAAAGAGAGGAAAAAACTAAACTAGGACAGTTATGTTTCACAATAGACAGGAGGATATTCTCTGATGTGAGCAGTTAGTCCAGGTTGCATGCAGTTGTCTGATCACAGCCGTCATTCACTCCTGACAGTCAAGTGACAGTGATGGAGAGTTTTCAACACCAGACAAAGCTGAAGACGTTTCCAACTTCCATTAAAGCATAATCCATTGCTGGCTCTCTGCATGAAGCCATCATTCTATAGCCATTGAAGGAACAGTTCAGTATATTTGAAGTAGGAGTATGTAAAAAGGAATCTTGATGTGGATTTGATACTTTTTTTGGAGCCGCCTCTACGGTGTACACATTTTAGGACATCCTCAAGTCTCAAAAAGTGTCGTCAGGTCTCAGGATTCTTCTCAGGAAACTTGATAACTCTGCATCTATTTCTTAACAACAGGCTATTTTGTGTTGATGATTGCATTTACGAGGTGTAATTGAATGCACCCTGAAGTCAAAACTCCCGTCTGCATAAGGAAAAGTAATAGGATGGCATGATAACAGTTTAAATATGACAACATTTTTCTTAAAACCTGACGGCGTTTTCCCTCAGTTTGGAGAGATTAGAGTTTGACCGGAGTGACATGTTATGGGTTATTCCTAAAAAACGAAGACACAAATGGATTGCTGATGCCTTAAAATAACGTAAATCTAAAAAATTTCAGAACTATTTATTAAACCACTATTTTAAAACTTTTTTTTACTGCTGTCTGTTTCAAATTACTCAGTAATACCTTCAATAAGTCCTCTGACCTTGGATGCGCCTCATGCTGCCACAGAAGTGCTACAGCTATGCTAATGTCGCTGGTTGCTATTTGTGCTCACTAATAGCCACAGAATTCCATGTAATTATCCATGTAATGTGAAACTGACAGCAATGAAAAGGTAAATAWAATCGTGATTGCATAAACCATTATTGGCGACTGGAGTTATTCTAAGACGGCAACAATCCACATTGGTGTTATTCAGACTGGCCCATAGCTTGGTATGAAAAAAAAAGGAAAAAAAATCTACTTGTTCCCTCTCTGTCATTCACATTTTCTTTGTCGTATTGACGATTATCACTTATGCGTACGAAYAAGAAAAGACAAATTGCCATAGGACGACAAATTTACCCATTTATGCTTTTATTTCTTTTTACACAGGATCTTTTGGAGAAAGCAAGAAAATTGAAATAATGGTGGCAAATTTTCCACAACAAGGCCTGAGATAGCAGAATAAAGTAAACATTTAAAACGGTCTATTAAAAGTGAACATGTTGCGTGTTTAAGTTTCATTTTAATAGATTAGAACGTATCCATGCCTTGAACWGAGTTATTTATCTGGTGGAAACCAATCTTAGAGGTAACGCGATTTTTCARTAGGTGAAATCAACGTTCCTTAATTGTGTTTTAATTTAGCAGATGAAATGATAAACTGACATATTCTTTGAGAGTAATTTGCTCAATGTYTAGGACAACCAGAGCGCTCTGACACAAAACTGGGTTTGTACCAGCAGAGGATTTATCCTGCAACAGACAAAAACAGGCTGTAATAATAGAAGTCYTCTGCTGTGATTCAGGGGAATAGCCCGAGTCTCTTCCCCTTCTGTGTGAAGACGGCTGAAAACTAAGCAATCAATCACAGCAGTCCAGCACCGCTTTGCTTTCCTTTTTACATTCTCATTCCGAGCGGGCGCAGCTTTGATCGTCATGTTATATCAGTATTGTGGAAGCGTCCTCTCTGCTCTTCCGTTTCATTGATCTGATCTTCATTCCCCCTCTTCTGGGAAGAAACAAACAAAACAAAAAAAAGCTACTCGTTTGACCRAAAGAGGAAAGTATGAAATTATCCCGCCTCGGTGAGCGTCGTATGATTAACGTGTCATCAAACGACACAGCTTTTGTGCATACTTCAAGTCCAAGAGCCAGTGTCAAACGCAACCTCCAGATTCAATTCAAACACCCCCGGCATGCTCTATTGTGAGTGTGATGCCTTCTACATACTGTAATCTCCCACCCCAGGGAGATGCTAAAAAGAGGTGTTATGAGACAGAGAGACCAGTTGTTGGAGCTTCCTATTATCTCCAAAGTGCAGTATTCCWTTTGGTACTTCCTCGGACTCTGAAGGAGGAAAAATAAAAAATAAAAATAGGAAATGTGCGTGCATGAATAGTTCCTTAATGTGGTCCATTTCAGCAACAGTGTCAGTAATTGTATGCTAATACATCCCTCTCTCTCTCTCTCACTGTGTGTGTGTGTGTGTGTGTGTGTGTGTGTGTGTGTGTGTGTGTGTGTTTGATATAGAAGTTGAAGTAAACTGAAGAGAGAAAACTAAATGTTTAGGTGCAACAGCTGTGTGTGCAGTGTGGCAATGAGGAAGTGAGGATTTACTTTTGCTTCTAGATAAATTTCCCTTTTTTTTTCTTTTTTATTTCTTTCTATCCAGGTTTCGATCTACAAACAGTTAGATTACAGCACAAACTCAGTTGAAGTCACAGCTGGAAGGATCGGAGAGTATTTGAGAACACAAACTGAAAAAAATCCTCTCTGAAGCTTTTGCAATGGCAGCTGGGGGAATGGAGAGAATGGATCAAAACCGCAGCCTGTAAGTTGGTGGTGAGCTTTAGGCTCTCCTRCTTGAGTTGGAGTAAAYGTGGGAACAACAACCTGTTTGCCTCCCATCGACTCAAACATCTTCTCCAGTTGTACACGAAGTTGCTGAATGTTGTTGAGAATGATGCAGGGCACCTTCTCCTTACTCAAATGTGATGGAAAGTCCTTGGAAATGATTGCAGCATATTGCAAAAGAACTTTGTTGATAGTCTTCGCGAAGCYGCACATGAAGTGAGCCAGAGCCTGTGGGTTTGGGCACGCCAGCTTTTTGATAATCTCAAAACTCTGGTTTAGCTGAGTGAAAACATCCARRACCGAGCAGGAAAAGAGGGCATGCTCCGAGGTTTGCTGAAATCCATCCTTCTTGTCCCTTTCAAGGGCTCCATTGAGGAAATCCATGGCAACGTCTTCATTCTCATCAAGCCACTGAATGACAAATGGCTCGAACCACAGAGAATACTCAGGTGGAACATCCTTGAAGGCCGGTAGGTCACGTACYTACTCATTATGGAACCATTTGACTTTGAAGTGAAGATTCATGAATTCAGTACTTTTGCATAGGCGATGCTTATCATGTTCTTCCATTGCATACTTCATATCCTYGGCAAAGAGGTTCCACATGATCTCAGCGCTGATCTTCCCCGCGTTCAGCTCCTGGGGAAACTGGTTAATGACTGGGGTGTAGGCTGTGCGGTCCTCATCGATTTACAGACACCATGAGAGTGATGAGTTTTGGCCAGAAGTCCAAGTTCTTGATGGATGGACCCTGCTCCTCTCTGGGAAGATCCTGCTTCCGGCTCTGGTCAAGAAGCTGGTTYTAGAGTTCATGACAGTTGTCAAAAATGTATCTGTATGTAGAGTCGAGACAAGCTTTCACACAGTCCTTCAACACCATGCTGGCTCTGGGTGGACTCTGGAGCTCTTGTACCTTCATCCTGAAGAAGGTGATGCTCGTAAGCAAATCAACGGTGGACTTCAGATCTTGGAGACGCTCTGGGTTTCCTGCAGGGAAGTTATCCCGATATTTAMAAAGGTCGATCCTCAATGAGTTATGCAGCTGATCCAGTAATTTGACAAATTTCTCCCTCCCAAAGTTAGAGGCAGCAAATCTGTCGGAAGCAGAGGCGGTGGTTGTGGTGGTGGTAGTRGTGTGGGCAAAGTAAGCGTTAATATTMGCGAGCAGGTTGCTCATCACTGCTGGCACACCAGGACACATGTATTTGGCAGATAGACAGGAGAAATGCGTCATAGCCTGATAGATGGACTCCACCCCGTATCGCATGGCAAACTCATCCACTATCTCCTGAGACACGTCATCAAAGTAGACCTTCCACGCGTCGTCCCCTTTCACCTGTGGGATCTTCACCACCCCGCTGTTCTTRACCTCGGTCAGGTAGTGGAACAGGTTCTCATGTAAACAGGTGTACTGGCRGTGAGGAGGAGCCACATTTTCCTCTCCTTTCATCTCAACGCTGATCTTCAGTCTGATGGCACCAGATACTGCAGACTTATCAGTTCTTTTATCTAGGTTGTACCAGACATCCATCTTTCCACTGAGCGTGCGGACCTCGATGATGGTCTGACCCAGGAAATCGTCCGACTCGCGTTTGAAATGTTGCTTGACCCGTGACTTGATGTCATCATCTTCGTCCCAGACGCGCACCTTTATGRGGTCAGTCGCGTTGTGACATTCAAAGTAGAACTTCTCATCCCACACAGGGTTGAGGTTGCCAAAGATGGTCTTTGTCCTGCGTTTGGTCTTACGCACCTGGACGGTGACATACGGGTCGCTGGAGCTGGTTTTATCCTTGGCCTGTAAACCTTGTGCACACCCCTTCACGCTAGCGCCGACACTATATTGTCTTATATGTATTAGCCCGGTGCTAGCGCGACAAACAAGCTAAACTGAGGTCCTCCATCCATATTTTCAGTTGCAGGCTGTCATTTTTGTGTTTCCCTCTCTGTCATGTGGATGGAGGACCTCAGTGACGAAAGGAGAATGTGTAGCACTGAGCTAATACATATATATGGTGATAGCATCGGGGCTAATGCTAAAGCTAACAGGCTAAGCTGAGGTTCTTCTTCCATGAAGCAGCTCTGTTGTCCTCCATCTATATTTTCAGTTACAGGCTGAGTCATTTCTACCTTCTCCTCTCTGTCAACGCTCTCTGGTTTCATTTAAGAGTCGATCATCAAATATCCAAGATTAACCTTCAAGGTGGATATAGCTCGCTAGCAGCCTTGCACCAAGGACCTATCCACGTCATCATTTACCCAGAATGCTTTGCMTGTAAATAAAATGGCCCCGTCCATMTAATATATTTTTAAACTTTTAGTTTAAAAATTATAAAAACTAAACAGCCTACAGTATTTTTACAGTCTTTATTTTACAGTTAAAATGTATGTTTATTAATAAGGTATAATGTTACAACTAATCATGGATCCCTTTAAAGAAGCTGTATTATTGAGTTTTTCTTTTCTCCAGGGCTAGAAATAGTTTTGCTCAAACTACGATAAAATATTCCTAACACTACAGTAAAAAAGTGAGTACCAGTTATCTAAATGACTAAATGGTGCAAAAATATAGCAAGAAGATTCAATGTCGTCAGCTCCCCTCAGTAAAGGTTCGGTGAGAAAAAAAAAGGTTAAATGCAGCAGAAAACGARCAGCAGCTTAGACTTTTGAAAATCAATCTTTTTTGTCACTAGGATTTGACTGTTCTGGTATCCTGTGAGCACTGGCACACTCATTCAGGCATAAAGTGGACACACTCACTTGCCTTCAGGTTACTGGTGAGGGGAGCATCTAAGATGAGTGTGAGAAACTGCAGATCACCTCTCCAGTCTTGGTTTTACAGTTTAGATTGGTCACTTTCAGCTTATTTTGGGTTTAAAGTCTGCAGCTTGACTGTGGTTTCAAAAAGAGAACTCAATAGAATATGCTCTTTGAGATGGTCAAACTCAAAGGAAGAGAAACAGTGAAGCTTTTAGCTACAAAAAATAGATTCTGTTTCCTGCAATGTTGTCAAAATGATCAAATAATGTTTTTATTTACTTTTTTATTTTAGCATAAGAAGCTTCATGACTAAGCAAAATTACTCTTAGAATTGGCGACCACCCTCTTTGTGAATTTTCCGATWTAAAAATAAGCTTTAACGCTTCCTTTATTATCTCCTTTAGCATAGAAAACTCTGAACTATTCTTTATGGAAAGGAAAGAAGATTATTCCGTCCCACAATCCTTTGCGGCTGCATTTTATAAACTCATACTGATCAGGATTCATGAAAATAAATATGAGGTCAGGACTGTGGGAGTGATGAGCATAAAGATGAGCAGCCTGTGACAACATGTTGAAGTTTTTGTGACGTTCATCATCTTCCGGCTGTTCCTTTTGGGGGGTCACTACAGTACATCATCTGCCTCCAGCTGACCCTTTTCCAGCATCCATATGTGATATGAATAACTCTCAGCTACTACCACATGGCACTTTAGATCAATATCTGTAAAACTAGCTCTGAGGTAAMGCCGTTTTTGTGTTTATTCAGGTCTGTTGACTGTGGCAGCCATCTTCAATTAAGATAAGTCCAAAAGTTACTGTAAATCCAGTGATRACTTTCTGAAGGTTTCATAAAAATCTGTTCAGTGATTAAATGAGATATCTTGCTTATACACGCASACCAACTGAAAGCTGAGCATTTAACCTCCTGACTAAGAAGACAACAAACATCCCCACTGCTGAGCAGCCTGGGTCTTTCTAATATTTATGTGTTCTTTCTCTTTACCTACAGAACATCTGTTAAAGGTACAATAATGATCCCAGAAATGTCAGTAATAATTTTCTATTATCTTGTGTATAAATMTCATCCAAGGTACTTTTCTGAAAACTGTGCCTCTGAGTTCAAATACACCAGCGGTAACTTGATGCAAGATCAGGTCAGAATCTGTTTGTATTGAAGATAAAAATGAGTTTGATGCAGGTTCAACATTTGGGAAGAAAATATTTTTGTTCATATCTGCAGTGAAGCCCTTTCGTCTTTTATCTTTGCTATCCTGTTCAGCCTCGAAACTTCAACACCAGCTTCCAGATGTACTGAGAGACACTCTTACCAGGGCTTTGATGAAAACACTGCAGAGTCTAAAGAAAAAAAAACACACAATGAAAAGTTTCACATCCTCATCCATAATTAATAAAGCCTTAAGCCTTTCCTTGCACTCAGGATGATCAACTTAAACCAGAAGTGGCAAGTCCGTAGCAGAACACGGAGGTAAAGATCAGCGTCTGAAAGCTAAAATTTTTCCAGTGGCGACTCTTTTGATGTGGCTTCACCGTGTTAGCTCGGAATAACAATTAGTTCCTGATAAACTGTGTCAGAGATGAATCCTGTCCCAGCTGCTTTGGTGAGGTGAAGCCAGGTGAAGGTTAAAGGTTCGAGGCTCTGTCGCTCTGTGTGTGCAGAAGTATCTGTGCACTCGTTCAGTCAGTTTAATTAAATTAAAAGCAGCATTACCAGCTGAGGCCTGTGGTAAGCTGAAGGACTTACATCGGCAGCTCATTTCTCAGAGGTCTTGATCCGAGGGGGGCAGAGTCCTTAAAGAGACACAGAAAACTCTGTTAAATAGGTGATACTGACATACAGCCGTGCCATGCTTTACTTGTTGTGGAAGAGGTAACCCTGAGCTTTAAGATACAACCAAGTGTGTAATTATATGAAAACTCAGACAGTGTAGAGGATGAGTGTCTGCTGTGCAGCATGGAAACAACAGGCTCATTTAAAAGCCTTCCTTAAAGGAGGAAACAATGTTGATTCCAAAAATGAAAGCGGAAGTTTTTGGCAAATATCTTGAAAATGGGTTTTGAACAACTCTAAGCTACAACCACACCAAAATTTTGCACATTTCTAAAATTACCCGAACTATTAAAGGGATCCATGATTAGTTGTAAAATTAGATTTTATTTGATAAATATATATTTTAACTGGAAAATTAAG